ACATAGGATACAACATTTTAATAAACAGTGCTTTTAAAAATCACTTCAATCAATCAAAAATCATGTCAGTATCATCAGCAGATGATTAAAACGATATATTAGAGTTTTGAGTAGAGCCCTGGTACACCAGACTAAGAAACATAAAAACACTACTAGAATATGATTCATTGATTATGTTAAAGCTCATTTATAACTAGTTGCGACATAAAACATCTTTCAAAATGTCAAAGGATTATGGAAAATGTCACTTGAAATATGTGAAAATTAGAAAAAAAAATTATTACTATCAAATGATCTGATTGTACACTTTAAAGGCTGTAACCTTCCAATGTTCCATATACCCAACGAAAAAAACATATATAAACAAATAAAACAGTTTTCTCTTTGTTAACAACAGAACGGCTATTACAATTTCCGCAGTAATAAGAATTTTCTTTCAAAACTTCAAGAGCTCAACAGTTTGAAATGACTGAAATTTCGGTAACATTTTCTTGCGCAAGTCTTCGACTTTATAGCCTGCTGTATTATAATAATTTTTATCCATTTCTTTGTTTATAATTAGGTCTCATTTAACAAACAAAACTATTATTATTTCGTATAATTAAGCGGTAATGAGTGTGTTCGCTGCTGGGCATAAATTCTTGTTGCGACAGTAGCCGAAATAAGTAGGTTTATGATTGTAGTTTCTCAAAGAGTGTGAAGTATTTGCCCGAAAAAAAATATTTACATCATTTTTAAGTAATATTTTAAATGAATGTTGATATATTTCGAGGGGCAAACCGCTGCCAAAAATGGTGTACAATACATACCAATTTTGGGAAAAAAGTACCAAAAATACCAAATTATTTCCAAAAAAATACCAAATTAGAACCAAAAATATCAAATTAGTATTATTCTTTTTAGTATCTAAAGAATTTAAGATATTTTGAGCTTTAGGGCCTATTCCTGTCAAACTACGATAATTAGGTTAGAACATAGATAAAAGAAAATAATCTACTATTAAGATAGATATGAAACTTAATAGTAAAATTTTGGGTCAAAGCGCCCCTCCGTGTTTTTAGTAGAGACTACGTTTAACCCATATATTTTTCTTTTATCTAAGATACATACCTTATCGTCTTTTGGAAACACGTACATTTTTGCAGTTTTGTTAGTTTCTTTGCAAGATGCAAGACAACAAGAAAACACCATTTTTACAGTTAATAAATAATAAAACTATTTCTGACTATGATATTTAAAATTTAGATAGATAGAAAATTAAAAAACAAACCAGTATTTGCAAACGCAGGCCCAAATTCAATAAAAATCGAGATTTATAGATTTTAAAGCGAACGAAAAAAAATCAAACAACGAATACACACCATATATTTTTTCTTTTATCTAAGATACATACCTTATCGTCTTTTGGAAACACGTACATTTTTGCAGTTTTGTTAGTTTCTTTGCAAGATGCAAGACAACAAGAAAACACCATTTTACAGTTAATAAATAATAAAACTATTTCTGACTATGATATTTAAAATTTAGATAGATAGAAAATTAAAAAACAAACCAGTATTTGCAAACGCAGGCCCAAATTCAATAAAAATCAAAATTTTTTCCGCGAAAATCAGGCTTTTTTCTCTGAAAAGGTATTTTTTGATTTATCAGCAGTCATACAGGGTGTTTTCAATTAGTCTAAAAAAATTATGGTGTGATTCCTCATGTGTTCTTAAAACAATTTTTATATAACCATTAGATCTAAAGTACTTCCTTTCTGATCTACAGGGTGTTAAAAATTAAAAAATCCATTTTTTGCTTAACCTAAATGGTACACCAATGCTTTTTTAAAGAAAATATATTTTTTCTTGACTGGCCATCTTTTTTAACAAAATTGATCTTTTGAGTTTTTCTTGTTCATCAAACGGTTGTCGAGAAAAAAATAAATATACTTATTAAGAGCCCGCCTTAATTCGTTTTCTATCGATTTTATATTTTTAGATTAATTAGGAAACACCCTGTATATGCATATCACAGGCAACCAAATAAACTAGTAACCTCTAAAAATTATTTTTCCTACCACTAGCGACATACCGTGTTTTTAGTGTGTACTAAATTATTTTATCAAAATTTCACCATATAAGTTTCCAGGCAATGGGTCAGAAAAAGATAGAAGCTTAATTCGAGTTCCAAAAAGTACGGTTCTAGAACGGTTTAAAACAATCGCACAGCCTATTTACGACAATCATTCATGTCAAAAGTTGCAAAAAATCATATTGTCAAGGTGTATTACTGGTTGCATAACTGCATACTGCTAAATAATCGCAACGTGCATTGAGGAACCTGGCGCATTCGCCAGAAAGTAAAAGAAAATTATAGAATTCTTTAGAAAATTCCAGAAACCATCGCCAGGGGGTATATAAGGCCCGCGCTTTGACAGTTGGACAAGTCTGAAGAAAGTCTGAAGATAGTCTGAAGTTTGATAATACCGCGAAATACCGTTAGAGTAATAGTAGTTGCATAAGTTGTGTTGTAAATAGTATAAGTTGTGTGTACAGAGTGAAACAAATAAATTCGTTAAGTATTTTATCGTGAGTTTAAATAGTGGACCCACGGAATCCGTAACAATATTATGCCAGTATTTTGAACCGTTCTAGAACCGTACTTTTTGGAAACTCGAATAAAGCTACTGTCATGACACGTTTAAAAAGTCATTTTAACGGTTCCATTAACATCGATACTTCAAAAATTTATAAAATAAACACTAGACATAAAAAGTAATTGAATTTTTTGTTATTTGCGCTTTTCGTTACTTATAAGCTCAAAAATATAATTATATGCACAAGAAAAATAAGAAATTCTAACGAGATCCATATTATGTTTCCATGATGCGAGTTCTTTAATTTCTTGACATTTTTTCGTATGACGCTATATCATTTAAGTTTAATACACTTTTTCATACCAATAAATTAAATAGAATACTTAATTAATTAAAAATTATATACACAATCTTCAAAAATGTATTCATCAAAAGGAAAAGTGACCATAAACTTTATAACGCTCAAGTTTTTTGCGTGCTTCAGTTGCAATGGCATTTCTCTTTTGTAGAGAGTACGTGTTGTTTATTAAATAATTATTACGTTGTCGTTGTTTGAACAACGATAGCTATCACCTTGTTATACAACTTGTCCACAGCCCGCATTATTATTATTATTATTATGTTATTCGTTATCTTTACAATATCGAATTCTTTTATCGCGCAGAATATAAAGATTGCCCGAAGATAAGATACTTTGAAAAAATTACATATGTACTCTTATTATTACTTGTAAATTGGCAGTTTGAAAATATTCTATACAGGGTGTTTCAAAAACATTTTTTCATCTCAACATAGCTCCGATTTTGCTTTGTTTTGTAGCTACAGGGTGTTATCTATACTAATATATAAAATCCTTAAGTGACTGACATACTGATTAATCACGATCCTGCTCAAACCACTCAACGCAAGAAGCTCAATTTTGGCATACAGCTTGATTCTAGGGTGTAGAGGTTCGATAAGAAGGAATTTTTCGAAATTCCAGTTCCAAGAGGGTGAAACCACCCCTCAAATATTACAATATTTTTTTTTTTAAAAACGGTCAAGTTTCCGAAAAAACGCTTAAACACGTATATTTTATTTTGTTTTTTTACATATTTTAAGATTTTTTAAAAATGTATACAGGGTGTTCCGAAAAATCGGGTCATTGATTAATCACGATCCTGCTTAAAGCGCTTGACGTAAAAAGCTGATTTTTCGAAATCGGATTAACTTTAGGGCGTAGAGGTTCGATAAAAAGGGATTTTTCGAAACTCGAATTCTAAGGGGGTGAAACGATCCCTCAAATATTAAAATATTTTTTTTTTAAAACCGGTCAGTTTTTCGGAAAAACTCTTAAACACGTATATTTTATTTTGTTGTTTTACATATTTTAAGATTTTTATAAATTTATACAGGGTGTTTCATAAAATATGACCATTGAGTAATCACGATTCGACGTTTAAAGCTGATTTTTGACAAACGGATTGACTGTGGGGTGTAGAGGTTCGATAAGGAGGGGTTTCTAGAATCTCAAATTCCAAGAGGGTGAAAACGCCCCTCAAATATTACAATATTTGTTATTTAAAAACGGTTAATTTTCGGGAAAACGCTTGGACAAGCATAATTTATTTGTTTTTTACATATTTTGAATGGCTTTAAAAAATCATACAGGGTGTTCCAAAGTTGGGTAATTTCTTAACCACGATTGTGCCTAAACTGCTTGACGTAAAAAGCTTATTTTTGGCAAACGGATTTTTCGAAAGTCAAATTCCAACGAGATGAAACTACCCCTCAAATATTACCAAGTTATATAATAATATCGCCATATTGTTTTCTCTCATGCTGACATAAATGTGAGAAAATTTTATCAGTTGTATGTTAATGGAAATTCTTGCTTTGCTTTATCATCATCATGACAAATGATTAATTCGACGCGAACGAAGTCGCTGGTACACGCTAGTATCTCTATAAGAATAATAAAAACATATTTATTTTATAAAAACTGCTTGTAACAAAATAGTGGGTAATGGTTAGGTTACATGATAAATGTTTGACATCTTTTATATGTACAGCTGGTTCCAATAAAATTGAATACGATTTAAAACATATTTTTATTATTTCGGGCAGTATATTCTATGATACCAGTCCTCCATTTCTCTACTCATGTCATGCTGACGTTCTGAAAAATTTATCTGCCACTTTGTCAAAAGCAAAGTTGTTTTATACAATGTCATAATAACCTTAACATGTCAAAATACTCGACACATAAATATACACTGCCCAAATGTTCGAAAAAAATGTATAAAGAGTCGTATTCATCTTTTTGGAACCAGCTGTACATGTCTGGCTATACCAGGTTATGAAATGCTACTTTTAACTGAGAAAAAATAAAATTGTGATGAACGTATAATTTATTCTATATACACAAAAATGTATTCTAAACAAAACTTAACATTATATAGATTATTCTAACAATTATTTTATTAACACACATATAAAAAATAAATAACTACATTATAATATGTTTTTTATATATTTTTGATGAACAAGCTAGTAATATATTCAAATAACAAATATAAAAAATCTAAAACCATTCTACACTACGTTAAAATTAAAATAAATTATATATTTAAAAATGTTTGCTGAGGTCCTAAGTAATACAAATCGAGCTAAAGGAAAAATCAGTCGTTATTTTAACCTTTATAGTATCCCAAGTCCAGCCCATGGCCATATGGGGGTACATATGGGGCGTATGGAGTATAAGGAGCAGGAGCTGCATATACTTTAGGGGCTGCAATGATTTTAGGAGCTACAGCTACTGGGGCACTTGGATGGGCAGCATGTCCACTCTAGTTGAAAGAAAATCAGAATAATAACTATAGAGGGTAAGTCTTAAATAAGTGCAAATATTTTAGGGGTAGTATATTTCGACCCCAGAAACATGATTATGATGTTTTTCCGTTTTTGAAAAAAATTATGAAAATTTTTTAGTTTTTAGTTAAAAAACATAATTTCTCGATAATCTGGCAACATAGGTAGATTAATTTTACAAGAAAGAAGATCCAGTGGTTCTCAAAATTTAAGCAAAAAATCATTTTTTTGCAAATTTTCGAAGTAAACTCCTTAACTCGGTTATTTTGGACTTATTTCATAAACGGTAAAGAGAAGAGATGTTTCTTTTAGCGAGATCTACCAGCTCTAAAAATATTTGCACTTATTTAAGACTCACCCGGTATAGCACTTAATTAATAGCTGGTAAGAGGATGATCAAGTTTTGAATAATACTCTCAGGTCATCAGGTCTTGACATTTTTATTCTTATCTTTCTTACCGCATGTTTTACAAAATATGTTTATAGAAGTGCAGATGGAGAAGAGTAAAAATCTCAAAAAGAAAACCTGTCATGAAACTTTTTAGGATCACTGATCACTGAGCCACCACAAAGAAGTCGCGAATACATCAATTTAAAGACTTGTGCTTGAAAAAATCAAATAAATACTAGTAAAATTATTAATTTTGCAGAAAAAATATATTTGTCACCTATTAAAAAATCGATAGAAATAGGTATAAATAAACAAGAACTGTCAAAAAGAAACTTACTCTGGTTACCACAGCGTTGAATCCAGTATGGTCATCAGCTGTATACGTCACAGTTCGAACAGTACCATCGGCTTCCACCAGTGAGTACTGTCCTTTAACCACATCGCCATCCCTGACTTCACTCTGGGTTTTTTGGTCACCAGTATGTCCATCGGCCACTCCATATTTGAATTCGTACTTTGGATAAGCCTGAAAATCAAACAAAAAAGAATAAAAAATATTATAGGATATTGTAAAACAGATTAGACAAAATGTCTTCTAAATGTACGACTTAGCATATAAAACATAAGCAAAGATGTGAAAAACTGGTATAACAGAGCATGTGTGGTCCAAGAACCATATAATACGTCAAATATTTTTTTTTGATAAAAAATATAACTTTATTTAACAAGGTATAAATTTCACCATATATATTTTCATCTAGATAAAAGTCAGAGATTTAAAAAAAACTGTCAAATTACGGTCATGGTATGCAGATTGAATAAAATTATTAAGAAATAGTAAAAAAGGTGTGTCATGTCTATGTAAGTTTGTCGATAGTTGGTTGATCATAATTAATTTTCACGAGCAACGGATTTGAATATTTCGTAATAAACAAAAATCATGCATACGCCTGAATGTTTGATAAAATCTTCGATTGGCTTGTTAACTTATTATATTGGTGTGTGTTAAATAACATTTTTTTTTGTCTAAATTTAAATCTAACAAATGATAATTAATAATAATGTAAGAGATTTTTTAAACATATATAATTTAGCAAGAACTTTGTTGCCCTACAACGTTAAAACACCTAAAAAATATTCATAAAAATTCTCCCCTCTAAATATAATGTTTTCTTGGCATTATGGTGAATAACATTATTAGAACAAAAAACAGAAAAAAATAAAAATAAATTAATTAGAAAAAAAGTAATAAAAGGGTAATAATAAACTAATTAAAAATAGTTATATATGCAGAGTTCAAATTATATATGTACTTATTATATTTTTGTTATTGTTATAAAAAGTGACTAATTATTTTGAGAAAAACCACACAATTTATTATTCTTGATTTTATGGTGAACGTAATATTTTAGAACTATTTTAAATCGCATATTTTTTTTTAAAAATGGCAACAGAGAATTATTACATTTAAAGCGGTTGTTTAATTTATATTGATTACCTTTTCTAATTTTGAGATAATTATTCAAATATATTTCATAAAAAAAATATATATTGTGTGAGGAAAGTTACACCATAATTGGAAATTTGTACCATTTCCATGGGCCAAGCTAAAAATAATGATGATTCTTGACTGCCTGGCGAAGGTAAATCATAAAAATAAACAGGTTGATATAAGTAGATTTACTAAAATAAGATCCTTGTATATGAATTTTATAAACAAGGATAATATTCAAGTAATATTTTTTATTTATTAAATGAAAATTTGTGTAAGTAGTTAAAAATTAAATATTATCGTTTTCTAATAATAATCCTATTTCTTGAAAAAAAAACTGAATATTTTGCCACTATACGAAAATCTACAAAATAAAATAGATATTTTTAACACAATATTTTTTTGTGTTTATTCAACGGAGATCAATAATTTGTCAGTGATATTTTACTAATTTTACAAGTTTTATATCAATTTTTAGGAAATAACGTCTAAATAACCAAAATTATCATCGAATGTCATTCCCCAGCCGTCTTTGACGCCATTTTTTTTCGGTCATACGGTATCATTGCAATGTTATTTATGTTAAGTTTTATCGCAGATCATTTCTACAATCAAATATTATCCTAATCATTGCATGAAAAAATTGATAATATTTTCATATAATGTAGATCAAAATTTTTGATAATATTTTGACTATTTTTTTTAAATAAAAACCAAACTTTATTTTGCTTTTTTACGTGTAGATTATTATTCGTTATATTATTAGTAGTATAGTATAGGTAGTATATTTTCAATTTCATTCACAATTTAGTGTCATAAGTTTTAAAATGCTAATGAGCCTTTAATAATTAGTCGTGTCATATTGTCTGTTAACTATGAACTCTCTAAACATTTATGTACCTATTTAAATTTGATAATTTTCATTGTCGAGGATGTATTGGATGTATCTACCATCAGTACATCTTCAATTTCACTTTCTTTGTATTGTACCAGCCAAATTACAGATAACATATGTCGCCGATTTCACTATAGACTGTTGTTGGCAATCCGAATTAAAGGATGAAAATAAAATCGGACATAAAAGACAGATTCTGAATTGAGAATTAATTACAATTAAATAAAAAAAAGCTGATGGCAAAATTCAAATATTTCTTAGAACGAGACACAATATGGTCTGCTTTCTTTAATAATTAAGTTTTATCTTTTGAAATTTTAAGTTTATCAGACATTTTTGTTCATGATAAAAAAATTCTGTATACCAGTAAAGTTTTTTTAATAATAAAAAAACCGTATTAAAATAAGAATATTACCGCATAATCTACAGATGGAGCTACAGGAGCTGCTTTAAAGTAAGCTGGTGGATGAGCTAGTGGAGCTAAGCGAGCGATTGGAGTGCGTAAGCTGGTTTAATATAAGTAGGAGTAGGAAATGCTGGTAGAGCAGGCAACGCCGGAGCTAAAGCTGGACCATGGGCGTATCCGTAGGCTGGTAAAGCTGGTTCTGGAAAAATCCCAGCTCTGACTGTGACAACCAGAGCTAGTATTGTAAGAGACTGAAAAAGAAGAAACGATATTATAATTGTGCAACCTGGACAGTTTATTATTTATATTACAATTATTCAAAAAAAAATTCTTTTTATGTTTGCAAAAATTGTATACACACACAGATGTGAAATAGAATTCTGAACTACCGCAAGAATATTTTTAAGCCTTTTAACTCTTCTTAAAACCTCTATAGATTCCACTGGTTGAAATAAATAAAAAAAATACATCAAAAAACGCTTTAATTAAGTTAATATTATTTTTTATATATCAAATTATCTTTGTATCTCAAAAGTTAAACTGTTTAGAACATAAAGTTCACAAGAAGTTTTTTCTTAGAATAGTTCCAAGAGTCACCCCTTGAAATATCAGCTTGTCATTAAAGAACACCTTGTATATTAAGTTGTATAAATTAAATTAAACTTCAGAAAACTCCCATAGGAGCAAAATACTTATAGAGCAAAAATGTTTTAGTTATTGTTTATAAAATAGGCATTGAATATGCCTATTTAAAAAGGTGAAAGTGTAGCTTCTTAAAAAAAACTCTCATTTTCATCTTCAGAATAAAACAATCGTGAAATCAATGTCACAAAATTATTAATACATCATGAAAATGAAAATAGAAATCGAATAATCCGAGCCATAGATATAGATAATATATCCTATTACAATAATTGAAATATCTCACCTAAGGTATAATTATAAATTGAAATTAATTGATATCAATGCATAATAACAAATCTAAGTACTTTCAATATCTCTTATAGATAATAGAAGATTAAAATTAAGCCTAGAAATATTTTTAGAATTAGAAACTGAACAAGAATAGTTGCTAAAGGTTTTATTGTTTTTAAACAAAAATAGCCTTTTTGCAATAAATATCTTGTTCTTTAAGAGTTCATTTCACTAGTCTGAGAAATTAGCAAAATAAGTGTTCGGAATTTAACGTTTTATGTAAAACAGGCTAGGCATTTTACAATAAATTAAGAAGGAAATTAAAGATAAAGGATTATATTATATCCATATTAGAACATTTTAGGCAATTTCTTTATTTTAAGATTTTGATGGCCAAAACATCAACAAAATATTCTCTTTATGTTTGGACTAAATTTTCGAAAAAAAGTCATAGCAATACGTAACCGAACGAAGTAATACCAA